AATACCTGAAAAAGGTTATTAAAATCTATCTTTGATTTTTTTCCTGTTAAATAATAGATAAATTAATTGTATTTGTATTATGCATTTACAAGACCTAAAAACTTATACACCTACCAGTCAAACTACAACTCGGTGATAAATATAATGAAAATACATACAATAAAAAAATAACTGATATAAAATATTTGAATTTTTTATACATTTTTTATTTCTTAGGAGAATAGTCCACACTTTATTTTGGTTTTTAATTAGCATTCATATTTTTTTCAGTTTATCATTTAATATATTTTTTCAATTAAATATATTCAACTCATACATTATCGTTGCATTTATTGGTTAACGAAATTCATAATAGCAGACAAAACATCCATAATATTTACATTTTTTTTTTTCATGCATTGGAAGTCGACTTGACGACACAACAATATTGGCTAGTATATTTTCTAACAGGAAGGATGATATAATGAAAGAGTTTTCTCCAGCACTCTTGGATAACAATTTTTTTAAAACAGAAAAAAATATAAAAAAGAAGGCAAATCGAGGCACATTGAATTAACAAACATGTTAAAATCGATACAATTTAAATAATTTTAAAAAATAAAAATAATGTATAGAATTATAAATGAAGATCATGTCTTGAATTATGGGGTCCTTGATACTGAGTTCTAACCTTTTTTTTTAAATGATTATTTTAAATTATTTTGATATATTAATATAAAAAATATTTTTTAATATATTTTAAAATAATTACTACCGTACTTTTACATAACCTGAAGATATAATAAGCTCTGGACATCGAGTGTGCCTGGCTGTGATTTGTTTTTTCCTTTTTTCTATACGCATCTTACAAAACAACACATTTAGTTTTAATTCTAATTATAATTATCACAGCAAACCAGCTAGTAGCAGGCCACGAAGAACAAGTTACACAAAATGAAAACACCAGGGATATATGCTGCAGGTTTGTATTTTTTTTATATAAAAAATAATATTCAGTATCATAAATGCTTTTAAAAAATAAAGAAGTTAGAGTTAAAGAGTTGATTTGATTTTAATTAATTAATAAAATAATAGAAAACCATAGTGAACAGATATTTTTTTAATAAAAAAGAGAAACAATGGGAAAAAGATCTATGAAGCCACAATATTGGATAAAAAATGCCTCCACCGAGATAGCAACTAATTTAGGTAATTGGATAAAACTTCTAGTTTATATTACAAGATCGAGATAATCAAATTGAAAAAAATAAAAAAAATCAATTATTTTTTTATATAAAAAAATAATATTGAAAGATTAAATAAATAAATAACCAAAATATTAATTAGGGACAACTTTTCAAATTCATAATTTGAATTATTAAACTGGAAGCATCATACATAGAAAAAAATGATGAAATATAATTTCTGTTGAATTAAACATCAAGAAATGAAACAATGAAAAAAATAATTAACATGATCTAAAAAAAAAAGCAATTAAAAAAATAAAAGTGCAAATCAAAATAAAAAATAAATTAGAGGACAATTTTTTTTTTTTTATTTAAGGGTTAGATTTAAAAAAATAACTTCAACAAAAAGAAAATGAATAAAATACTAAGGATCAAATTTAAAAAATACTAAAAATATCATAAATTTTAATTGAATGAAAAAATTAAAAATTAATAAAACTCTTATAAAAGGGCTGAGGGGGATTATAACTTAAAATAACAAGAATTGTATTAAAAACAAAAAAGGAAAGAACGCAAGGCAAATTGTAATAGAAGAAACCAAATTTAAAAGAAAAAAGATTTTTATAAAAGATCCAAGGACAAAACTAAAAAATTAAAAGAAAAGGGAAACAATTTTCTTATTGCAGAGCTAAATTTTTTTAAAAAATAACTCTAATAAAAAATACAAAATAAAAACTAAAAAGAACAACACAACATAAACTTTTAATTAATTAATAAAATAATAGAAAACAATAGTGAACAGATATTTTTTTTTTAATAAAAAAGAGAAACAATGGGAAAAAGATCTATGAAGCCACAAAATTGGATAAAAAATGCCTTAACCGAGATAGCAACAAATTTAGGTAACTGGATAAAACTTATAGTTTATATTACGAGATCATCAAGATAATTAAATTGAAAAAAATCAAAGAAAACCAATTATTTTTTATATATAAAAAACTAATATTAGAAGATTAAATAAATAAATGACCAAAATATTGATTAAGGCCAACTTTTCAAATTCATAATTTAGATTATTAAACCAGGAGCATCATACATTGAAAAATGATGAGGTATAATTTCTGTTGAATTAAACATCAAAAAATGAAACAATGAAAAAAATCATTAACATAATCTAAAATTAAAAAATAAAAGAAATTAAAAAAATAAAAGTGCAAATCAAAATAAAAAATAAATTATAGGGCAATTAATTTTTTTTTATTTAAGGGTTAGATTTAAAAAAATAACTTCAGCAAAAAGAAAATGAATAAAATACTAAGGATCAAATTAAAAAAATACTAAAAATATCATAAATTTTGATTGAATGAAGAAATTAAAAATTAATAAAATTCTTATAAAAGGGCTCAGGGGGATTATAACTTAAAATAACAAGAATTGTATTAAAAAAAAAAAAGAGGAAAGAATGCAAGGCAAATTGTAATAGAAAAAACCAAGTTTAAAAGAAAAAAGATTTTTATAAAAGATCCAGGGACAAAACTAAAAAATTAAAAGAAAAGGGAAAAAATTTTCTTATTGAAGAGCTAAATTTAAAAAAAATAGTTCTAATAAAAAATACAAAAAAAAAACTAAAAAGAACAACACGACGTAAACTTGAATTGAAAAATAAAATTGAAAACCAATAAAATTTTTATAAACTAATAAAAAATTAAAAAATTAAAAGAATAAGAAACAAGTTTTAAAATATAGTATATATAATGAGTTGAAAGTCCAAATTAAAAAGAAATAAGAGAAGAATCAATGATAAAAATTAAAAATAAAAATAAAAAGAATTGAAGTAAAGATATTAAAAATCAAGAAGACCACTTCGCAATTTATGGGGAAGGAAAGAGAAAAGTGAAAAAAAAAAAAAACAATGAAAACAAATCATCCACTTTTTAATGACACGCAATGCAGCAGGAGAAAGAAAACAAGGCACCATGTCCAAAAAGGCAATAGAAGGGTAGGTCTCATCATCGGATAGAGTCTCGCATACTTTTTAAAATTTCATATTTAATTAATTTATGTAGAAAATATCATAACACTCACAACAACACAACAAACAATAAAAAACAAAAAAAACCAACTTGAAAAGTAAATAACAGCGCTTGACCAAAGAATTTTTATTTTCAACTCCAAGAGCTTTCAAGTAATCCCACTGTTATCCAAAATTGAAAAACTAAAACTAACCTTACAAGCCGGGCATGTTTTTTTTTCTGTCTTTGAAGGCATTTTATTATTTTTTATTATTCAATTTTTAAGTCAAAGATTACATCACCCCACCAGCCAAGACAAATATTATATGATTCCCAGGTAAAACAGTTATTTTATTGTTGTCGTCCACGATAAAACATCTCTATTTAAACCCCTTTCACTTTTAGTGTACTTGTTATTTATATTATAGCTGAATTAGCAAATTAACAAAAAATTACTTCACCAATCAGTTTCAAACTAGGAGCCAGGGACATAAAAAGTACGCATTAATCACCCATAGAAGCCATACTGGGATGGTTAGAGTACACCTCTTGGGATTATATAACTGGTTCGCCTATTAGGCAACTGTAAATAAATTGAACGAGTAACAAAAAAATAAAATATCTGTACCGGCCAGAACAACATAATTTTTAAAAATTGAATCAACAAATTAGCAAAATAAGATAAGAAGATACAAACATGGCAGTGGCTGCCATCTTCAACGGTAAACGAGAACGAAGTTTTATAAACAGCTATCAAGAGACCACAAAAGAAGCGAGGTGAAATTCCCGTTTACAGGCTCCTGATTCTAGAAAACCGGCCACATCCGCCATAACACAATACAACCCCAATATAGAGTGGGCTTACGCTGATGGTTAACTTCTGTTAGATTGGCATCGGCCCAATATATTTTTATCCATTCTTTTAAGCTTGTAATTTCTGCACAGCTTATTTTAATTTTCACCTCGTTATAATTACAATTGCAATCTCTTTACTCCTTCTCTTCTTTTCTTTTTTTTAATAAGGAACTCATCGTCAAAAATACTAATTATATTAATATCATTTTCTCATCCAATTTACTTTTTATTATTTTCTCTAATAAAGGTGGATGTTGGTGAAAGCCCCGAATGTTCATGATCGAGGCATGGTAACCGACTGAGAGAGATAGTTGTGGTGGTAAATTGTCACGTATGATAAGTTGGCGTGGCTGTACATGCGACCCCAAACAATCTCGTCAAGAAAACACGAGATGATAACGCTTTGCTATGATCCTCGAATAGGAGACTTATCTCACGCCATTTTCTCGCCGAAAAAATCCCATCTGCTCACAAAATTAACAGTGAAAAAAAATAAGAAAAAATGATTTAACAAAAACAACTAACAATAAGTTCCGCATTTTACTACTTTAACCATGCAGTTTTACATTACGTTACCCAAGCATCTCATATACAAAGATCCACCAATAACTCCCACTACAAGCTCCACGCAGCCATTTTTTTCTTGTACGTTTCACGCAGCTAGCAGGTCACCGATTGCAATAGTTTCTTTTGTATTCCGGGATCCGGTATATATATATTCATTTAAGAATAAAGTGAAGTGATCTATTTTACAGTGTTTTTTTATTTATTCCCGTTTCAATTTTGTCATTATATCCACGCGCGATGTCACTACTCTCAACCATTGTAAGAGGAAAACAGTGCCGGGAGGGCTAATCTTATCCATAGAAAACTATGATAACGGTCGTGTTGGTCCCCCATCAATATGAACATCATTAAATAAAGGCCAGTCCCTCGTATAAGAGCGTGAACACAGACAGCAATTATATGATCCAACATCCATTCAATGGATCATGGAGTAATTCATGAAGCTGAGCATAACCTTATCTAGTGATAAACCCAAAAGTTAAACAAGTATTCAAAAGAGTAACTTATCTAAGGTCATGGCTTACACAAATCTAAAACAACTGATTTAGATAGTTCTTGCAAACCCCAAATAACTGTGCTGATCCAAATAAAACATTTAATCCTAAAAAAATACTGCAACATGATGATACAGGACTGAAAAAACATAATCCAAGAGCATGCTATCCTTCTTTCTACAATGAGATGGGCTTAAGAGAGAGGGATAGAGAGATTGACCTACATGTTAAATGGTCAGTAAACCAAACAAGGGTCCCAGCCTTATCGCTTGGATGGTCTCTCATCATCCTCCCCACCACCACCATCATCCGAGTCATCTTTATCCGACCTCTTCCTCTTTATTGGGGCCTCAACCTTCCCAGCAGGCTCAGTATCGTCTTCATCGTCCTCCTCGTCAATGTCTTCATCATCACCATTATCTACTGGTTCAAAATCAGAAGCATCTTCCTCGTCTTCAGCACGACCAACTGGCCGGACAAGATACTCAGTGCCCATATCCTCCTGTTTGTTAAAAATCAATATGTTCAAAAAAAAAATACAAAAGAGGAGTTGACAACAGTCTTGACAGAGAGGATAATTGAAAAGGAAGCAACCTATTGAATTTACTCAAATTTACCCAGAAAAGGATAATTTGTTATGTTAATGAACAGGTTTCATGAGGTTGTCATTATGCATCCATCCATGATACTGGAAAGAAAGACAATAATAACTAGCCTGGAAATCACATATATTTACGCACACAGCAATATCTTCTACATTAGGATTAAGACTAAACTGCATCTTCAATTATGAACAATACGAGTCAAGGGCATAGCTTTAACAGAGGAAATTGGACCATGTTATAGACTGTTTCCACAAAACCAGATGGAATCAGAAGCCCAGATCTAGGTTCTGAGAGGAAAAACTACTGAATGGCGGAAAAATGAACACCAAGCTTATTCATTATATTTAATAATAAAAATTATTTAAGGAGTTTTAGGCATGTTAATGGAGAAAACAAATATGCCAACTAACATGAAGTTGAGAGCAGGCAGCATATGCATTCACCATAGATCTATGAGAAAAATAAGAGATCTACAAGATCGGTGAAGCTGCCGAGCACAATAGATAATAAAATTAGGTAATTAACCGCAAATTCTAACTAGAATACAGCAATCTCTTAACAGGACAAAATGAAACACAATGAACCAGGATTGTGTCTTCTATTTTCTAGCAGGAACTCCATAAATCAGAAAAATATATGATGCATATATACCAAAATTGACTCTAATAAACAGATCTGATAGAAAATCCCGGAAAGAGCAAAAAGAAAGATAAAATTGAAATAAAATAAGAGGCTGTCAACCGTAAAATTTTAATCAAACAACAGATCTAGACAGGTAACACAAAAATCACCTAAAAATAAATTTAACAGATGAATAACAAGATTAAGCAAAACTTGACCTAGATAAAAATAAATAAATGAATGAAAATTTTAGCGACTGTTTTCGTTACCTCGTCTTCTCCATCCTCCTCTTCATCCTCGTCGTCGTCGTCATCGTCGTCGTCATCGTCATCACCTCCCTCACCATCCTCCTCCTCGTCTGCATCCTCCTCGTTGTCATCGTTCACAGACTGTCCTGCTGGTCCACTAGAAGAGTGTAAAACCTGCACCTCATCATCATCATCATCCTCGTCGTCGTCATCATCCTCGTCGTCTTCATCGTCCTCGTCTTCATCTTCCTCGTCTTCATCGTCATCTTCTTCTTCAGCGTCTACTCCACTCTCATAAACCTTAGTTTCCTCTTCTTCTTCGTTCAAAAATTTGATATCTTTCCTTTCTTCAAAATCCTCTCCTTCTTGCTCCATGATTTTCATGTTCAACAAAAACTTAAAAAGAGTGTAGTTAAAGACTAGAGCAATTTTCTTGAGAAAACTTGATTTTGATTTTGATTTTTTTTGGAAAAGAAGATTGGGTACAATGTGAAAGTGCTGGGCTGCGGTTAGAACTGTAGGTGGTTTGTTACCGCTTGTTTCAATAAAACCCTAAAATTGTTTAGGGAGTATCCGCTTGTCCTGACGTGGTCATTAGTTTGTTACCATCTAAGAGTGCGTTTACTTTTTACATAATTTTTATGGTTATGATCAGTAACTTAGATTTAGATAAATGTTTAATAAAAATTATAATTAAAATTTATATGTAGCAAAATATATATATATATATAATAATATTTAGTGAAAGCATGATTAATGTTATTTTAAAAAATTATTGTTATTTAAAAATATGTTAAAAAATTATTTTTAAAAAAATTATTTATAAATCAACATATTAAAATGATCTGAAAAAATAAAAAATATATTAATTTAAAATAAATAAATAAATAAAACTTTTTCAAAAGCATTTTTAAAAAGTAAAAATAAATAGAATTTTACATAATTTAGTTAAAAAGAAGCATTTTTAAAAAGTAAAAATAAATAGAGTTTTACATAATTTAGTTAAAAAAATATGTAAATCTGTTTTATAAAAATTACATTTTAAACTCAATTTTCTAATAAATTTTATAATATAAAACTCAATTTAATTTATTATTAAATATCTTACTGTGTTTATTTTACCACAGACATAAAAACCATTGAAAAACAAACACTATTATATTTGTTAAAATGTGAGCTGTTTTTCTGTTTTTTTTAATTGTTATTGTTGTTATTTTTTATAAAGCTATTTTATCTAGTTGTTTACTTTATTTGTTAATAAATGTTGAACTTTCTCAAAATATTTGTGATCTGTTTAATCTCTTGCTTCTTAAAGTGATCATGGTGTCGGAGGTAAGGAAAGATGTAAGGTGAATATCAATAATACTTTAATTTTGTATTCAAGATGACTTCAAGAGTACAATTCCATATTGGACTTGATTTCGGTGTTATGTCCTGTATTACAGAGAGAATTTTCTGGCATGGTTTTTTTATATATAAATTATCACAGATTTTATTGGGCAGTTGTGGCAATCCATAGAGTGTTATGAATGCATTGTTTCTTCCAGTTTTTTTTTTTTCCTTATTTGGTATGAATTTTCCTCCTTGATTTAAGTTGTTTTTCACTTTTCATCTGGCAGAAGTTATAGCACATGCTTTTTGCTGGAATTGGCTTTGATTGATTGTTGCTCACAAAGTTTAGTTGAAATTATGTTTGAATTAAAAAAATTGTATGTTTTTATGTTTTTTAAAAAAATTATTTTTTTATTTCTTGTTTTAAATTAATATTTTTAAATATTTTTAAATTATTTTGATTTGCTAGTATCAAAAATATTAAAAAAAAACAAAAAATATTTTAATATATTTTTAAATAAAAAATAATTTTAAAAAACTGCTAATATATTTTTAAACACCACGTAGCATCCAAAATCTATAGCATTGACAATCTTATCTATGAGTTGATTTTAGACCAATGTTTGTAAAATCGCTAGTTGACTCGTGAAATTGTACGATTTTACGAGTCAATACATTTTTATAGTGCTAACTTAGTATAAAAACTCGAGAAGCATTAAAATCATACTGAAATTGTTTTGACTCAGTAAAATCTGTTAAGATTGAGTAAAATCATGATTTTTCTTTCGTGTTCAAATGGAAAATAAAATTTATCAATTTGTTAGTTGCCACCAATTAACTTTAACCACGTACACAACCTACGAATCCTGTCCTTTTTTTTTTCTACATTCTTCATCGTTCCATAACCAACAAGGCATCAACCACTCATGTAGAACAACCCAAAATCAAAGCATACATCTCCTTCTCTTCCAAAAAGCCATCTGCATCAGACTGATCCTTTTATACCCCTTTATGCTTCTATTTCTTCTTTCCCCGTGCAAGCTAGTTTTGGTTCCTTCACTTCTTGGGTGTTGCTTTTCTTTCTAATGTTTTTTTTTTCTCAGATCTTGCATATATATCTTAGACTATAGAGGAATAATAATTTCACATCTTGCTTAGTTGTTACCTTTTAATTGCGCTTGCATACTTCAATTCAATCATTCAATCATAAGCATTTTGGTTAATAGTTAAACAAACAGGTCTATGTATAATATCATTTATAGTTTCATAAATTATAATGCTGTGTTTTTCATAATTGACAAAATCTCATATGAAATTAAGATGTTTTGAAAGTTATTGTTTTTGTTTCCATTTGTTACATATGTTGTTTTCTTTATTTTTCCTAGTATATAAAGTTTGCGCTTTTCAACCTAGACTTTTCTTTTCATATTGAAATAGATACACTAAAACACTCAAATAGAGGTGAAGTGAACTATCTAAGTATTAAACAAGACATGTATTAACGAGAAAGACAAAAAATAAAAGTTATGGATGGAAGAGAATAAAATAGCCAGATCAAATCCCATTCTGAATTTTTTATAGTCTGGGTTTATCTCATATGCATATTCAATGCAGTTATTTGTCATTCTTATGAACTACAGAGGAGATGGCAACGCTGCTAAAAACATGTCAATGCTTTTGTATATAAAAGTTTATGTTTGTTTTAAACTTGTTAATTACTGGTTAATAAATTTTTATGAAAATTAACAATTGTATTTTACTGTATTGTTAAGTTATTTGAACTATATATAAATTTTTATTTGAATAATGTGTTTTTAAGATGTGTAAACTATGTATAAAAAAACTTTTTTTGTGATTTTATTATCTATTTTTACCATCTAAGTTTATTTTATATTTTTTGTATCGTGTCAAAAATATATTTTTGACAACCTTATTCTAGACAATACAAATGATTGTTTGAAAACTACATTCATATTAAAACTTCAAGTATATATATAAATTAACTCTAATATTTTGAGATTTCTAAAGGATTCAGTTGCACAAAAATATATATATCAAACAAAAACATGCAGAGCTTACGATAGCAGTTCATTTTTTTTTTTGTATTTTAATCTTTTTTTGTTACTTTTTGTTTAAATTCAGTCTTTACATAACATGTTCATATAGATTTAAAGTAGATAATTTATTTTAATTTTTATTTACATGGTTATTGCAATATCAAAAAACATATCTTAACATCGGACTGATATTATAAAAATATCTCAGCATCATGATGTAGTATATTTTAAAACAATGTAATTCAATACAAAATAATTTTGAAAAAAATAGGTTATTAAATTTTATGGAGTGAGAATTTAACGATATAACCCTAGTTGCCCCTGTTTGTAGGATTAGTGGGTTATTTTTTTTAATTAAACTTGATTATGTAATAATCTTTTTTTTCCATCATGTAGTTAAAAAATAGTTTCGAACAAAAAGATGTTATTAAATTTTAGAAAGTTCGAGGACCCGTTAACATGTATGGCATATTTAACTCCTTTTTTCTATATATATATATATATTTTAATTTTATTATTCGATATTAGATTGATTGAAAATTAAGTTTTCATATTTTTTTTATAATGTTATTATAGTCTTCAAAAACAGTCTTAATATTGGTTCAATGCTCGATTTTGTAATTGTTTATTTTTGTTATCGTGTAGCTAAATAAACAACATTTTAGAAAAAAAAATTATTAATCACAATAGAGTCCATTAACTAGTCTGCAGGTCTAACATGTACTGTTGACTCAGGTTACCCAGTTCACAAGTTTAATGGGTTTCACTCTTATTTAATACTGAATTAGTTAAAAAATAGAATTCATGGTTTATTTATATATATATACTTTCTATATGATTATCATGATTTCAAATAAATGTCATTTTTAGGATTGATGCTTGATTTTAAAAATATTTAATGTTACTGTAAAACCAAATAAAAATAATAAAATTATTAAACTGATTGAAGTTGGTGACTTAAGTTAAAGGGTGACCGATATCGATTAATTGGTGACTTAAGTTATGTCATGTTTTGCTCAATTATTTCGATTGTATTTGGATCTATTAAATTAGATAATTCATTCTGAATTAGCTCTCACACGGTTTCATTCGAAATTTGAGTTAAGCAAGAAATCGGGTTGATAAGTTTTAAAATTAAAATGTTTGATTGGATTTAACAATAATGTCAAATAATCTTTACACTCAATATATTTTTAAGTTTTTTTAAAAATAGCTCGACAAATATACTAGTAGTTACTGTACCAAATCATATACATGTATTATTCAGATTCATATCCGTATACATATCCACACAAATGTTCGTAGCCTACACCATCAAAAAGAGATTCGTGATCTGCATTTGCACGCACAAACTATTTCCATATGTTCTTCTAGCATGTTATCTGTTTGGCTCTATTTTAGAAGAATATAATATTTTACGAAATAATCAGAATGTGTAGATTTCTACTTCCCTCAATTAATTCAGATGTCCATAATTGTCAAATGTTTTGTTTATAAACCTATCCATGAATAATATAACCATCATTAGGATCCAATTTACACTCCAATTAATCATTAGGGACTAATCTCCAATTCTGATTCAACTCTTAGGAACCTGGTTGAAAAAGTTAAGGACTGGATGGTAACATTTTTGAACACTAGGGACCAGGGTATAATTTGATCGTCATCTCCAATTCACATCCTCTAAACTCAGTGACCATAGCCAGGATTTCAGTTTCTTCTTACCTCTCGACAGAACTCTACAATTTATATGTCCTCTGAACCTAATATCATCAAGGTTCACAAATTTTCAATTCTCCCGGTAAGAAAGTAATATAAAAAATATATTAAAATTTTATTTAATAATTTAAGTTTTAAGTTGAGATGAGTTTTTGATATAATATTAAAATTTTAATAATTTATTATAAGTTTAAATCTTACTATTTACATTTATTTTATAAAAATTAAATATAAAATAGTGTAAATTTGTGTAAATTTTAAATTTTAAAAGTTTTTATATAAAAAAATATATTAAAAAATAATATAAAATATATCTTAAAACATAGTTTAAATTTAAATCTTTAGATTAAAATATAAGGTTCATCTTTGAGCAATCGATTCTATTGAATCACGCTTCCAGTTAATTTTCTGGAGAACTACAAATCAAAATCAAAGCATATATATTCCACCCAAATCTTAACGTCCTCTAATAAAG